TCAAGAAGTGTCCTAGAAAAAATTGTCTGTATTTGATGCCATTCAAAGGAGGGAAAGTGTTACACAAGGGGTGACTTGTTGAAGAAGATGTCTCTTACTGCTTTGTCTATCATGGGCCACCACTAGCTGAGGATGAAGAGGAAAGAGAAGACTGTGGGAGGGTTAAACAATGAAGAATTGCACTAACCTGGTAGAGTTCAGTGTTTCCCAAGCTTTTCTCATGCTAATGTATGTTGCAGACAGAAGTCTAAGCAGTATTCTAACGTGTTCCGACTGTCTCCCTAGAGCTCAAGCTCTCACTGAGCTTCTCCCACTGTGGAGAATCTTCTCCTTGAGGTAAGACTGGTGCAATATCATCTTTGCTCTATATGTTCAAACTGCTGATACTGACCTTCATACTACATTTACTTTGACAATACTGACTGTGCATACATACGCTGGGTCTGCCACCTCTTGTGACATGAAGCGTAAGTTGCTTGTTTACACTTACACTGCAAGACTAACCTGCATCCAACTCCATTTATGTCTGAAGGACTGACTCCTCTTCTGTGATCCCATCCCCATTCATCCCCAAGAAAAATAAAGCTTGTAAATATGCTGATTTATTCACAGAAATATATGCTGTCTTACACAATGAACCTGTCCTATATGGCACCATAACTTCAGATGAGTGTCTGAACATATTGCCATACCTGTGAATGACATTGATTCATGCAAGTCCATAATCACATGGTGACTGAGAGTAAAAATGCAATGTGTTTTTAACGACAAAGATCTTTTATTACTTCTACCTCACAATATCCATCTATTAGCATGGAAGTGTACAGGGAATTCAAGATGTTTTAAGTCTCTGACACTAGTATAAAAATAAATAAAATCAATCAGACCTGTCTCAGATAACTTTTCATTTCTAACTTCAGTGACTTGAAAGTGTCACAGAAAGGCAACAGCATTTAAAGACTGGGATGCAGACTGGCTAAAAAATAATTAAGCTGCTTCTTAGGTGAAACAATGGCAATTGTATGGAAAACTGAAAATGGCCCAGTAAAATACTACATTTTATAATTTAGCAAAGGAGACTTTCTGAGATCTAGTTTTTGTCAGTTGATCCATTATTTTCTTGCTGTTCAGAAAACACACAGGTTCTTGAGAACCATGTCTAAAAATAATTAAAAAATGCATACAATTTTTTTTCACTTTCATTTGCTGTCTTCTGATTTCTCCAACTTTTCTTCTTAAAACAGCAACTGCTCCCCAGTCAACTGCTTGGGTTTCATGCAGCTTACCTTCTAATTAATATACATTGCAGCTTGAAAGCTGGTATGAGATGCACACTCTTCTGTGTGTTGAACATACACTAAGAGACATTGATAGAAAAAGCACTTGGGCCAATAACTTCCACAGTGTTTAAAAATATAAAATGGCCATTATGATTAAATGATTTTATTTCACTTCAAGTTTTTTTCTTTTGCTTTTGTCTTGCTGCTGATCCAGCAAGTTTATCTCATTTTATTATTTTTAACAGATCAGTCTCAAAACTTTCCTGAGTGTCAATGTCCGTACCATTAAACAGAACATCTGCTTTTTCCCAGGTATTCAGCTCTACTGTTTAAATGACAGTATAATTCAAAGCCTGTAACAGGGTGGAAAGTGTGCACAAGAAAATTTACAAGAACTAGTGTCTATACATGAGTATTGTCCAAAACTGTGGACTCTTTTTCACCTACCTGTTTCTTCACTTAATCCAAACAGTTGTTACTGGAAAAGTCCCTGAAACCCTGTCTTTAAATACCGCAGTAGGTCTTCTAAAATATTTGAAGTTTTGTCTTGCTCGTGACATACATTTTCTGTTTCCTTCTCTCCACTAGGGCATAATACAGGTGCCATTCATTCTTTACACTTGCTTTTCTATTGTGAGGAAATGCTCTACTGAAAAGATTTAGCCTGATCAGTATTTGAGCAGAATGAGAGAGAAAAACACTGAAGAGTCATGTAACTCATGGTAGGAACACCGTACCTAAGCTAAGAACCAGGTTTGCTTACCTACAGAAAAAGCAGTAGAAGTTTGATCATACTACAGGTATGAAACAATTTCATACAGACATCTGAAATTTGAAACTCATTACATTTTTTTCCCTTTCAAGTTCAAGTTCTGACTTGTTTTAATGCTGTTTTCTTTTTTTTTTTTTTAATTTTATTTTATTTATTTATTTATTTTTAACCCAAAGTTTGTAAAGCCAAGTGTCATTTCTATACACTGCAATATCCTCTCAGACAGCAGTAGTTCTTTAGCCTCCAGCACTCTGAGGGTGGATGACCTCCTCCATAATATAAAGATAGCTTCTGCAAGCCATTACTTTTTAGTAGAGAATAAAGTTACTTGGTGGTTGAGAAAGAATTACTGTCTGCCATGGAGATGGCTGCTGGGTGGTTAAAGTTCTTTGACACTAAAGAACATACGTTTTAAATAGAATTCACTATGCAGTAAGTAATTTGTGGATATTTGATCAGGCTTTTACAGAAAATACTGTATAAAATATTTCTATTCTTGTGATATAGACTGACTGTTGTACACCTTTCAATCAATTTTGCATAATGCTAGTCTTAAGGGTAGCTCATTATGAACTAAGCATGGCAATTTTACTCCAAACCCCTGATCTCTATTATTCTAAGAAGCTGAAAAATCAAAAGGACCAAGAAGTATTTGTCTTGTGTGTCTATTTATGCACTGACAACGTTTGCTTACTGAGATAAGAAAACATTGCTGATCTCCAACAGCTTTCCATTTGTTCACAGGTTAAAGATTAAACAGGATATGCATTTGAACAAATGTGTCATATGGTTTCCTTAAACACGCATCCATGAGTAGAAAGCTCTTGCATCATTTACTTCAATTATAGCAATCTCTTGAATGTACTTCTAGAGCAAAATCAAGGGGTATATAGGGACAACAATCAAACATTTAGTTGTTGCTACATACAGATCATTAAGCTTTAAAGGTTTATTTATATATGTTTATAAATTTATGTATATATGTATATATATGAGTGATTGCTTCAGGAATTTTAGCAGGCCTTACTTTCTTTGCAACTGATATATTTTTATGACATATTTTGTTATAAATAAAGTTTCAGTATGAGGTACACTAACTTGTTTGTATTTTAAATTTTCATTCCAAAGTAGCTCAAATAATCTTGGATAGCAAGATGGATACCCCTGGCAGCAGGCTCCTGTAGCTTGGACAAATTGCAGAATACTGCAATCAAGTCCAGGAATTATTTACACCAATATTCCTGATACATGGTATATTCCTTGTCTATCCAAGTTAAGCCATTAATTCTGGTAGGCATTCTGAGGAACAAACTCAATTGCAGCATCTCATCTGATCTGAGGGGTTGTATTCTCTTCAGAAAAACTGCTACAGATCAGTGCTATGTGTAAATCAGAACTCCATACAGGAATACCTCACAACACGAGGCAGCAATTCCCTGTGGGGGAGATCTTTAAAAGTTCTAAATTTATCTAAGCAGCAAAAGATGACAAAAAAGATAATAGGTGTGAGTTGGCAAGGACAAGATCAAAAGTCAAACACAGCAATAAAGTTTATCTATGGTACGGAGACATATTAAAGCAGCATGCGATGAATCCTGTATGGTCTCTTGCTGTGATTCAGTAATGACTGTATAAACTACTAATAACAGATTATTTTAATTTAAAAGATAATTAAGCAAGCAAAGAGTTTCAAAAGAAAGAAAGAAAAAAGAAATATGTTTTGAGGAGAAAAGTACTTTGATGTTACACGTTCTCCTAGCACATCTCACAAAACCTCTAAAACCTTAAATTAAATAAGAAAAATATACTTATTTCAACAAGGAATAAAAATGTCTTTTCTCCAGCCTCATTAAAAAAAAAAAAAAATCCCCTCCATTTCAATCTTTTTCACCTCTGTGACAAAGACCACTATAGCTTGTGCTGTCCTTTAATATAGCTGAAATAGAAACAAAATTTTGTCCCAGACTGAAACTTTATCAAACTTAAGAACTGTGATTTTGGTTCAAACCTAGACTCTAATACATGCTTACAAGCAATTACCCTGATACGAAGAGGAAAACAGCAAGTATCCCAAAGTGATGGGATTTCCTTCCTTAATCTTTGAGAGTAGTGAGGCAAGAAAAATTCTATCCTGCAGTGCCTCCAGGTATAACAATCCCCCTGCTAAATCTTCTAAACCTGTCACAGCCAGAACTAATCTCACATCTTCCTGCCAATAATTTCCTATGATTTCAATCTAGTAGACATTTTAACACTTTCAGTTAAAGGAATGAAAAGTTAGGAGAGTTTAAAAAAATGTGGAAGGTGATGAAAACAAATTAAAGACTAACAATTCATAAAAACTTTGCTTATTTATCATTAGCCTGAATTAAGTTTTTATTTATTTATTTTTTTTTTTTAGTTATTTTACTTGATCCACTTACTTCACCTTTGACACAAACAGAACACTTCTTGCCACCTGAAAATACATTAGGAATAGCTGATGGAAAGAGCCCTGTCATCCCAGTCATTCTGCTACTGAGAAAAAGTACTGCAGGCCGTCACGAGTATGGAACAAAATCTTCTGAGATGTCATGTATCTTATGAACAGTTTTAATTCACTTTAACGTGACAATAAACACAGTTGAAATATGTGCATATGTAAATATTCTTACTAACAAGGCCTTAACTTTGCATTTTTACCTCAGGTTCTGCCTGATAAACTCTGAAAGCTGATTTGCATAAACTCACTGTTGGAATGCTTGAACATCCTTTTTTCATTTTTTATTCATATTTGCTGACAACCCCTCTTATTTTAAGGACAAAAAAATTATGTAAAAGATAACCTCAAACAAGGTAAACATAATTAATGAAGCACTTGGTTATTTGGGAGTTGGTTTGTAAGCATAAGGTTCAACATTAAAGTAGATCTATAACTGTTGCATGTGATCAAAACAGCGATAGCTTACCTTGTTTGGGCTTGAGTTTCACTTCTGCTCTGCCTTGGCTGAAGCACAGTGCACATAGTCTCATGGGTACCTGCAATATACATTTAACAGATTCAGTTAGCGGAACAGAGAATGAACGTGCCCCCTTATTTTTTAAATATTTTGATGAAATGTGAATTGATTATCACATTTGCAGAAGTTCAAAGTCACATCCATAAGTTATGGAGTAAAATTCTGCTTTTACCATATGTGCCCAACTGAACAGCCCTTCTTACTCTTGGGTGTGAGGACAGGCAATAGTGTGCTAGCAGCTTACATAAATACCAAAATCACATGCAGAATTTCCTAGGCGGTGGAAGTTAGCCACTTCCCAGGAAGAACGGCTGAGCTGGTACACATTGCTGTCTCCAGCACTGAAAAGAAAGTGCGGAGACAAGAGGAGACAAACTTTCATTTCTTTGCTGCATCAGGAGCAGGCAGCAAACAGCTCTCTCCAGGTATAAACTGAGACCTTATGAGTTGGGGCAGCAGCAGGTTGCTTAAGCCTAAGCCTGCTCAGCGTTTTGTTACTTGGCAGCACAACTGACCTGTCCTGCCTCAAGGATGCTCTGCAGAACAGGCTGTGATGGGGAGCAGTGGGAGGCCTGGAGAGACCAGCAGTACCCCAGGAAATAAATAACACTGCTAGGAAATAGAACAGCAGTGGAGTACTGCAGGGGTAGAAGGGGTGTCTTGCTTTCTTTCTTTCACTTTCCCTTCCAAGGGCTGACCTCTCTACATCTGCCATTTTTGTCCCCCTTTAAAAGAACCAGGGCATCCCCTGCAACATCCAACTCCTGCAAAAAAACCTCATCCTCATTCCTTCCCTCCTATCTTCTGTCCCTCTTTACACCTACAATTTCTCCTATGCCTTTGTCTTTCTGATCATATAAACTAGAGACAGATCAGGATCTTGGGACCCTGCAGTGAAATTCATGCCATGTACCTTTCTTCTGCTATTCCTACCCTTCTGAGTTACATTTAAGCTGAAGGCTATTTAGTACTGTCATTTCCTTTTTCATGCATCTACAGTCGAACAGTATAGTGGTAAACACTAGGAAGCTTAAATTTCATACATACCTCCCTCTAGCTGCTATTTAAAAAAATACTTCCTGAATCTAACAGGAGCTTAATTTTTAAAGTAGTACAATGAGAAAACTCTTTGCTTGTCTTCAACATTTTAATGGCAAAATTCATCAATAGACACATATTGCATGCCCCGGGAGTCACAGACAGTATGCTACAAGAGATGAATGTAACAATCCTTCCCACTTCTAGATATATTAATAACAATTTAAACCAAGATCAAAACATTTACAAGCCAGCCTCTCCATCGACATACTTGAGTACAGAAATATTTCTAAAAGTTGTACAAGTTTGTCTGTGAGATGCCACAGCTTGGTCTTCAGAGAGAACACCAGGCCATGTACCTTCTCTGTAGCTACCATTGTTTGAAGACTATCTCAAGTCCTAATCATTCCCTCCCATACTGCCTGTTGTTTGTTTTTGTTTTTTTTTTTTTTCTTTTGATTCATTTTTTTTTCTTTAGTTGTTTGTTTTGGTATTTGTTTGTTTGTTTTGTCATCTGCCTTTCTCTTATCCTACTGTAACTGGTTAGACTTTTTTATTTATTTGTTTGATTAAAAAAAAAAAAAGAAGAAGAAGAAGAAGTGAACCCAAGTTGCATACCATACCCCTGCCTTCAGCTCTGGGACAGCTTTGGATGGTGATGATAGGAGGGGCTTTTCTTGTATGCTCATACAAGAGCATATAGCCGATAGCTGCAGGTGTTGTTATTCAGCTACTTAATTTTAGGTTGCCCTGGATCCTGCAAATGCCCTGTGAATTGGAGGTTTAGACAGCTGAGTTACCCAAATTTACCCTGCAATTAACAAATGAGAAAGTGGAGGTCTAATTAACGCTAGGATAGTCAGTTGGTCTTATGCATGTTCATTAGCAAACTCTCTCTGTTCAGGACCTCACGTAGCATGTTGTAAAGCCTGCAGCACTGTATTCCAACAGGAAAGAAAGCAAAAGAAAACAAAACACAAGAAAATCCACCCATGCAGGCATTTTTGTTTTTCCCATCAAGCTACACAGTGGTAGCTAAAAGCACTGATGTGTGTGCATGACTAACATTGCAGAGAAGCAAAATGGTGATTGAAAGAACTGGCACCAGTTAATGCCACTTGGTTAGCCTCTCAGAGCAGGTGTGATACTGCACAAACATCAGACCTGCTTGCTGTAGCTTCAGAGGAAGAATAACACCAGAAGGGGCTGCTGCTTAGTTCACACACACAGACAGAATCCCTGTGACCTGCCTTAACTTCACAAATGCAGTTTAACTTTTCACTACCATTTTATGTGCTATAGAAGCTAACAACAATGTAGATATGCTGGCTTCAGACACCCAAAACCCCTTTTCCTAGAAAAGATCACTTGAACTACTGCCCGTTGCAGCGCTACCACCAGTATGCCAAACGCACCCTGGATCTTCTTAGAGAAGCCCCAGTCCAGCAGGCAGCATCTCAGTTGTTCTGAGCTGATTTATCTGATCAGGTGCCAAAAAGGTGAATATCAGACCTAGGCTTCTTCTCCAGCCAACTGGGATGACAGCATTGCTCATTCCTCTAGCCAAAACACTGAGGCATCACTGCGGAAACACGCATTCAGAGCATGCGAGTCCCAGAGCATGGGAAGGATGTCTTCATAGCTGGAAATGACCAAGTCCTAATGAGGAGCAGAACGATTCCCAGGGAATACATATATTGGCAGGATCAGAAAGCCAAATTAATGTTGCAGGATGTAAGGATAGCTGTAGTGATCCCTTAGCCCCTGGGTGATTTATCAGTCAGAATATGACAAAGTCCTGTGCTAGGATTCTGCCACATTCCCATGGAATCACAGGCTGTATTTCAATGAAGGGCTGGAAATAAAACAAGTGAATTTATGGCACATATGACTTGAGTATCTTAATTGTCTGTTATTTTTTGATTACACAAAACTAAACGGGAAAACATCAGTGCCCTCGTGTGTCCTCTGTTCTGGAGTTCTATCACAGCCCCCCTCCTGGGCTATTACCACACTTTCAGGAATTGCCTGGTTTACAGGAATAGAGAGCACTCCTTTAGTACTGGAAGTGCAAAGAGTTGGGAGGTAATTGTAATACCTAGTCATCTATTGCTTCTACTTTGAATGTTCTTTAATGCAACAATTGGGAGAAACTAGACAAACACGTGGTTGTTTAGTTTTTTTTAATACACATCTCTCTGAAACTAAAGGAATCTTTTAGTGACAGAGGGTAAGAGAAGAAGGTGAACATCTTCCTGAGCACTGCCAATCATCGGAAGTAAAGAAACAGGGAGAAAAATTGAGCAATCGAGAGGTGTCACAAGTAAAGGCAATGAAAGAGCCAAGCTCTTCACCAGCACAGCCCCTTCAGATGACTGCTGCTCTAAGATCAGCAGCCAGCAATGGGAGTATTGAATAGCAAGGGGGGTAGGAGAAATGAAGTATCAGTGTCTGAAGCAAGGAAGGACCTTTGATGAAACAGGTATATTCTACATAAAGTCTGAAAATATTTTAAATGATCAAGACTGCCAAAAATCAGTGGCCTTAACCAGGGTTAAAAAAATCCCAGGAAAGCTAAGTGAATATAGAAAGGCTTTGTCCTCCTGTTCACCTACATAATACAGCTACATTGTAATGAATAGTTAAAAAAGATTAAAAAGGCATCTGTCTTCTCCAAAGACTAAGATAGCTGAAAGGCGATGTTGAAGCTTGCCTCTCTACATGTCAGCTTTCCACACAACATATGCAAACCATCCCTGTAGCAACAGGACTCATGAAAGCTGAATGTCAGCCTCCCAGCTAAAAACAAACCTTGCTGGGAAATTAGCTACGAGGGACACCACAGTTGCTACCACTGTCTTTATCATGTGCCACTCTATTAATTCATTAGAGGAGAGCTGCCATACTGAAGCAGAGTAATGTTAGAAGTACATGTTTATATATATCTGCAATGAAAACAAACACATATGTTAAAATCTTTTGTTTTAATAGACCCAGACAACTGATAGCTTGGAAGATGCCATCCGACAGCACTTTTTCTTTAGAGCTGACCCTTTCAAATCCTAGTGAAATATCATCTTGCATGTACAGGGCAGGGACAGCACAGGCAGCAATACTTCAGCCTTCCAAATACCAGCCGATGTTAAGATATAAAGAAATTACCTAAAATATTTCTCAGAAATCTCTCTTCTTAACCTCCCCAACAGAAAAAGACAGAACATCTCCTGAGCTGAAATGCCTGCTGTGCAAGTTAAGCCATCGAAGCTGGACATATTTACATCCTATTTGACAGCAAATCTGGAGCCTTGTGGAGATGCTGTGGACTGCACCGACACAGTACCAGTCTCTAGGTATTATGGTGAGAGCTTAGTGACAGCACAAATCAGAGTGAAACAATAACCCATCCTTCTGATCTTTGGAAAAGATCATTTTTCATTTTTGAAAAAATATCAATTTTAATTTTTGCATTCCTATTTAGAATTACAAAGAAAATAATAGCAAGCTATTCAGACATGCTGTGCTGAATTTTAGCTTTCCACCTGAGGAACAAACCAAACATTCTCCTGCATCCCTTTATTTCTGTAAGCTTATAAACCATCCAATTCTCAGCTGGGAGATTCCCAGCAAACACGCAAATTGTTCCGTAAGGACTCCGCTATTTTCCTTGATGGCAACTAAAAATTCATCAGGAGTATATGATGCATTACAAACATGCTAACTGTAAGCAGCCTTCTGGATTCTTAACAGTTTACTAAAAAAAAAAATAATAACAACAACAACAAAAAGAAACTACTCTCAGATCTGTAAGCCAGCCAAGAGTGACTGTGCTGCATGCTGCTAACAGAACGATAATGTCACTTGACGCCAGGCATTCTTGTCTATTCTAATGCTACTCCATTTCATGCTTTTTGAGCTTGGTACACAATGTTCCTTTTGGTAAAATTAATTGCACTGTTCCTCTAAACGTTAAAAATATGGTGA